TGCGGGAAGACGTGAAAGACCTGATGGAGCAAGTCTGCAAGGAAATGAAAGTCATAAACAATGACTTCTCTTGCACGCCCATTCTGATAGGCAGCACGGCCAACCGCACAAAAGCTGGTCTGCCGGACGAATACGACTTCCTATTCGAAATCGATAGATATCGAGAAAAATTAATTATTGAAAACACAAAATCTAATACAGCTGGCTTTGTAACAATTCGCGAGGAAAACTCACACCAGCATATTTCGGTAAATCTAAAGGAAGAATTTGTTAAGCTATTATGCCGAGCTGTATCGAATGTCATGAAAAACGGAGGACATTCATTCAAAACACAAAAGTCAAATATTTTGGCATGGAACAAAGTTTGCACTCAGTGCAATTTGAAATTTGTTGGTGGCGGACATTTTAGATATCTACCTATATCGGTAGATTGCACGCCGGCAGTACGAATCTCGGGGAAACCAGCTGGCGCAACAATCTTTCCTGGTGACCACTACCACGTGGTACCCAAGCCTGGCGTGGACTCAGATAATACGTGCTGGTCCGTCTGTACGGCAGTAGCGGAAAGCAAAACGATCACAAATTTCCATCCCGTTTATCGCCAGGCTCTAATCACAGCAAAGGCATTTCTTGATCCTCGAGTACATGATTGTTATTATAAGTGTAAAAACATATTGAATAAGGATGAGTTTTTTACAGACGATGACTTTATAACTTTACGTACATCTAACATAGACGTTATTCAGCTGTATATCGCCACTCGCTTTAAGCCTAGGAAACTGATCGACTCCTACCTCCTAAAACTTGCGCTGCTTCATGTCGCATCACTCAACCCAGCGGATCCGCCGCCGTTCCCAGTAATCGTGCGTAAAATATTTGAGTATGTACAATCGTGTACAATTACGCGCAACATATATATGCCGCATCCTTATATTAGTAATTTCAATGTTTTGGCCGAGGACTGCAATAAAACAATCACACACGTGCCTGTCGCGTATTTGCGTGAGCGGCACGTGGATGAGTTACTGGGACGTCTTAATAGTGGTCCGCTGGTTAGTGAGAGCGGACTTATAAAGTTCAGCGCTAAAGAGCTGTGGAAGAAGATGGAGGGGTCGGTCAGTGAAGCGTGGCCTAAACATGTAGCATATATGAAACGCTATTTTATTAATGGCTACACCGCAGTAATAGCAGCAGCTGTTAACGGTCATACGGATACGGTCACAGCGTTATTAGGTGCAGGCGCTAACATAGATCACGTGGACGCGAGTGGTTACACCGCAGTAATAGTAGCAGCTGCTAGCGGCCATACGGATACGATCACAGCGTTATTAGGTGCAGGCGCTAACATAGAACACGTGGACGATGATGGCTACACCGCAGTAATAGTAGCAGCTGCTAGCGGTCATACGGATACGGTCACGGCGTTATTAGGTGCGGGAGCTAACAAAGATCACGCGGACGTGAATGGCTACACCGCAGTAATAGCAGCAGCTGTTAACGGTCATACGGATACGGTCACAGCTTTATTAGATGCAGGCGCTAACATAGAACTAGCGTCCCCCACAGGTGACAGAGAACTAGCGTCCCCCACAGGTGACAGAGAACTAGCGTCCCTCACAGGTGACAGATTACTAGCGTCCCTCACAGGTGACAGATTACTAGCGTCCCTCACAGGTGACAGATTACTAGCGTCCCCCA